ATATCGTAAATAATAAATGCATATATAGAGATATTTTTTGGAGGGGGGAGATGGTCTTCACAATTTGAAATCGATCGAACACACTGTGCTTGAATGCTCGTGTAAACGCGCGCCATCTATCGTAGGGTAAATGCCAGAAACCTTCGCGGGAGTGTATTAAAAAAACTTTCCAAAGCTTCATGGCAATCGTACTACACCACAAACCTTCGCCGGAGTATATTAAACAACTTCCCAAAGTTTCACGGCAATCGGATAAACGGTGTGGTAATGCATGAAGGACACACACACACATACATTCATTTTTATATATATAGATTAATTAAACAAAATAACAGTTTTGTTGTAAAATCACCAACCACCTCAACAGCAGTTCATTAACAATTCCGACAACAATACAGTATTTAAAGGAATCAGTTTGGCCTGTCTTACCACCAACGAAGTGGACTCGTCCTGTCACTTAAATCATCTCAACATCGCACTTGTACAACACTTCCTTACTACCTTGGATGGTGCAAGTGTTAAAAATTTGTATTATAACACAATTTTTTTTTCTCCTCATTTGCAGGTAAGGATTTTGCTTTCGTCTTTTTTTTTTTTAATATAAAAAACCTTTCCTTGCACCATCCAGGTTTTAAAGGTTATTAAAGTTATAAAACTTGTAATGACATTTGTAACCTTTATAACTTAATTCTTTCAAGATTTTTATGGATTACCTCATAGATACAATTTAGAAAATTCTATAAATCAATTAGGATTTTCTCATCTTTCACTTTGCCATGAAAACCAACAAGGTAGCAGTATCTTACTGATTTTCCACCCTTCGACGCAAATAATAAAAATATTCTAATACCTTCATTATATCTTGTTAGTTAAAATCCCTAAATTTCATCTCATTATAATTTCCATTTATAATAACAGGATGTGAATTTCAAATAATACATCACTTTCTGAAAACAATAAATTACACTTCACAATTTAAATTAATTGTACGTGCAGATTTTAATGTGTCTAGTATTTCTTGGTCATTTTGTTGGGCCAATTTTATTATTATTAGATCCCTGCAAATATTTTTTTTATTAATGAAATTTACTATTTTTTTCAATTTTACTGAAAGTATTTCCCAATACACCATAATTCTGTTTTAGATCTGGCCTTTTTGATAAATTGTAACCTCAACACTTACCTGACAGAAGGGTTTATATGATCACTGTGCAATCTTTCTTGAAGTTTTGGATTGCATTAACACAAAATACTCAGTGATTTATGAGAATATATAAAACCTTTTATGGTATCATTTTAACTTTAAATAAGCTGCTAAACACATTTGTTCTATTGAGTGGACTTTCCTGGAATCTCCTATATTATCTCCTCAAACTATTATCAATTTAAAAATGAAAAATATAATAAAAACATTAAAACAATTAAGAAATGTCAGCAGAAAGCAATGGACCATGTGGAAATGCAATGGAAATCCATGCAACCTGTATATTCATCATATCTTACAAAAATACTACTACAAAAAATGCAGCACACCATTTCAAAACTACTTTAATAATATTGTAAACACTTTAGCTTCTGACTCCACATATGTTTTGGGGATTCATTCCTAAATTTTCTAAAAGAACTCAAAATAAATCAACTTCCTTTTCTGATGACATGATATTTGATGCCTGTAAATCTATTAAAACAAAATTTTCCCCAAATTACACCCAAGGAAGATTATTTTACACTTCTGCCACAGAACTACACCTATGAATACAGTTTTTCTTTTTCAGAAACAAAGGATGCCATAGATAAGTTGAAGCCCTCCATTTCCATTCCTGACTCCATTCCCTCAATTTTCTATATAAAACTAAAACTGATTACTGCTGTAATTTTATCAAGAATTTTTTTCTAAAGTACTCCAATATACTCTTGTTCCAAAATAATGGTATTCCTTTACCATTATACCAATACAAAAAAAATTCTGATCTATTTCTTTATCTGTTGCAATACTTAAAATTTTCAAAATATCTCTCTTCAATAAAATTTATTTTCTGATAATGCAAAACTCTTACCTATTCAACATTGCAGACTGAGTAATCAATCAACTATTACTAACTTCTATGTATGTCTTGTCTCTTTAATCCGACATTAAGTTCGGTAGACTATCATTACAGTTTTCAGATTAGACACTTCTTTTATTGTTTCGACATTCGCATTTCAGACTTATATAAATGTCAAGTCCCTCTTCAGTGCAATACTATGGTTCTGTCTCCTAAAACCACTGTACACAACGGGTAACATTGGAAAGATTTTAAAATACAGCTATTAAAAACACGTCAAATACATTTTTACCATTAATACGGAAAACTTTTAACATTTGCTCATAAAATCTTATATAAGTACAACTTTTAAAGAATGTGTATGTTCTACAATATAACGTTGCAGTAACTGCAATTATAATCGTTTTACAGATAGCATAGTAATATTAAAAACATTTTTTAAGGGATACATACACACTTTTACAATATATTTCCAATTTTTTCCTGTTACAACATTATTATAAACATTATTATTATTATATAACAACATTATTATAAATACATTATAACTAGTTGTAATGTATTTATAATAATGTTGTAACAGAGGAAAAAATTGGAAATATATTGTAAAAGTGTGTATGTATCCCTTAAAAAATGTTTTTAATATTACTATGCTATCTGTAAAATGATTATAATTGCAGTTACTGCAACGTTATATTGTAGAACATACACATTCTTTAAAAGTTGTACTTATATAAGATTTTATGAGCAAATGTTAAAAGTTTTCCGTATTAATGGTGAAAATGTATTTGACGTGTTTTTAATAGCTGTATTTTAAAATCTTTCCAATGTTACCCGTTGTGTACAGTGGTTTTAGGAGACAGAACCATAGTATTGCACTGAAGAGGGACTTGACATTTATATAAGTCTGAAATGCGAATGTCGAAACAATAAAAGAAGTGTCTAATCTGAAAACTGTAATGATAGTCTACCGAACTTAATGTCGAATTAAAGAGAGAAGACATACATAGAACATAATAACAGCTATCCAAAAGTGATATTACTAACTTATTTGATATGTTTATAATTCTAAATAATTTTGAAACAAATTGCAAAATATATGTGTTTGTTTATTCAGAAGAATTATTGCAAGACATTCCATCAACAAGTATTTGGAAGGGAAAAAATTGTGGGCAACAAAATTACAAAACTGTTTTGTTTAATTAATTTAAGAATTATTTATAAATAAATACTACTTGAAGAAAAATTTGGGAAAAAAAAACTTTTCAGAAATGTCAGGATTCAAACTTGAGACAAAATTATAGTAGGCAAAGATCTTAGATTGCTCTGATGAACACATTTCAATGTGCATATGACAGCATCTTGCATTTATAACAAATAATAATTAACAAAAAAAATTTTTGGTATTTAATGGTTGACCATCTATAAACCTAATATTTTACATATGTACTAAAAAGACCAACACCTACAAACTCCAAAAGTTCATTCAAATTTGCATTTTTCACCATGTGCACTCTCCTTGTTAATTGTCAGAGAATAAATAGTATCATGAATTTTCTCTTGTGATGACTCCAAATAGTTTTTTGCCTCACTATCATCATCTAATTCAATTGAACATCCAGCCATTATCTTACATATTTACTAACTAATAACTTGGCAAAATGAATATACACACGGAGAAGTTTCTATTACTTTACGAGATCTAAATCCAAACTTAATTTGGATTCTCATGATTCTTCTAATTTGGATCAGTGCACTTTCTATATTCATTATCCTTACTAACTAAACGCTGTGCAAATCTAGCCTAGCAAAATTGTAACATTATATGTTGATAACTTGCATAGCAAAGCCAATCCAAATACTATCAATTGTCTTCATTCCATTCACTTCCTATTCTTTCTTCCAATATAATGTGAATTTTTCATTGAATGTTATGAATTAACATTTAATTTTTTATACCTTTATGTTCTCTTCATTCTATACATGATGAAATATTCCACAACATAATTATCATTAGTTTTTTTTTTCTAATATATTTTTTAGGAACTTCATGAACTGCTGATTACAACGTATGTTGGTCTTTGAATCATTTTCTTGATAAGAAGTTCTAGGTTCATCAGATTTTCAACTATTCAATTCATTCATGAATTATCAGGAAAAGATTCAAGGATCAAAACACATTGCAAGCTACAATTTTGAAATATTTTACAACACTAGGATAGGAAAAAGCTATTCGGAAAAGGTTTAAATTTGTGAAACACTGGGATAAATGTCTGAATACTTATAGAATTATGTGCAAAAATAAAAGTATACAATGTTTAATGAATTTTTAAAGAATTTTTTGTTGTAATTTTGATCTGTACCTTAATTGTGTGTATCTTTAGTTTTTTTTTTGACCCTTGAAAAAGACCACTGGTCATAGGGTCGTTTGAAAATAAATTGAAATTATTGGACAGCCTTCATACCTATCCTATATTCCTATATCAATCTTTGGGAAAATATTCAAACAGAATGATCAATTTACTTCTCTTAAGAACTGCTCTTTTATGCTCTATCACTTCAATATTGTTCTAGAGATGACCATTACATATTCTTTTCATGTTATACAACAATATTTTAAATAAATTTTTATTCTTTTGAGAAAAGTATATATCAATGTTTTTACAAAATTTCATTTTTACTAGCTTCAATATTTCATGAAAATCAAAATTTAAAACCACAACATGAAATTTCACTTCTCATTTAGAATCTCATGTCTTCAAAATATTCAATTACTCTTATAAGTTTTCTTTTTTGAAAATCTTTGAATTTAAATTAATCAGAAATAATTTTTCTAATTAAATTAATTAACACTTAATAATAATGAAAACTTATATTAAATTGCAAAGTTGTTCTTATAACTAAACTCAATATTTCCTATTTACAATATAAAATGCGTGTCAAATAATTTCTTACCTCTTGTTTATAGCGTTCTCTATCTTTGGCCGCTGCATTTAGAAATGGTTGTTTTTCTTCATCACTCATAGCATTCCACTTAGCTGCACATTCTTTACCAAATTCACCAATCTATAAATTTTAAATAATTATAAAAATTAAATTTTTATCTATCAAATATATGCTTACTTTATATATAGATATAAATTACAGTAGAGCATCGATTATCTGAATACCAATCAACTAAAACATTAATTAACCAAAAGCGTTCCAATTGACAAATTCAAATTTCAACTAGTGTTGTAGTATTACAGCACTCTCCCCCTCCCTGCCAACCTAAACTGTAGGCTTACTTTAATGTACTACTTTATGTAAGGTATGTATTTGTAATATGTGTGATACAAAATATATACAGTACAGTTTTGTGTTTAATATACTTTTTCACAAATAATCAGTTATCTGAACAATCCCAGTCCCAAATTGTTTTGGATAATCAATGCTCTACTGTAAAAGTAATTATGATTTATTAATATATTAGTTTTGTAAGACTGATAATTACCAAAGAATTACAATATAATAACTAAATATGACATCACTTAAGTTGAGAGCATCAAGAATATTATCGCAGAATTTAAAAAAATTCTTAGTGTGTGATATATAAATGAATAAATATTAAAATTCAATTTCGTGAAATCACCACATAAGTTGGAACTATAACTTAGAGCAAGCTTATGCTTATAACACAACTTTCAGCACCTATGTTTCTCACAAATACAAACATCTTCATGTATTTGTGAGAAACATATAGATTGCTTGAAGCTATAATTAAAGAATCCACATATGATACAGATTAAAAATCACACCTTTATCAATCCAGCAAATGATTTTTAATACCATAAAAACATTTTCAATCATTTTAAATGATCTTCCTCAGTTATACCAAAATAGTACTTTGAAAATTGAATATAAAATAAAATTATGGAATAAATATAAAATTCAAACGGAAAAATGCGCATGCAGACTAAATATATTAAAATAAACGATATAAATAAGGCCAAAGCAACGAAAGTGAATAAAATACAAGATATAAAATGAACTGTAGTATTATCCATTATTATTCTTAATTATTGTAAAAATATCTCAATAGTAGATAACACATCCTATCTTGTATTTTATTCACTTTCGTTACTTTGGCCTTATTTATATAATTTATTTTATTNAATCAAACTAGGCATGATATATTGTCTATTGTAATTTTTAATAATGAAAAAAAAAAAAAAAACAAGAGAATGGGACGATCTTGTATGCGGTAAAATCGCACAATATTATTATTATTATTATTATTCAAAATTTTACGTTATGCTACAACGATTTACTTAAAATAGATTACTTCTTTTTATAATTTCTAGTAGTTTAATGAACTTAAAAAAGTTGTCATAGAAAATACAGAATATAATGATAAATAAGGCTTGAAAATTTAAGGATTTATTGTCTTAAAAATCTAGAAAAGTAAATTTAAATAAACGAAATTAATTTAAGATTTTTTTTTTCATTTAAAGGAACTCGTATCATTGAAAAGTATATAAAAGAAATTATTAAAAAATATTTTTAAATTACTAACCTTTTAAAAATTGAATTAAAATTTTATTTTCGGAATTAGTAATGTACAACGAGTTATATTTCTGACTCTAGTAAGGCAAACATGGTGAATTATGCTTCTTGTAATGGGTAATGTAGCATGAATGAAAATGAAAACGAAATTATAACCTAAGTAATCGTGAAAAAGCAAGAAGATAGTCTCTTTAACGATATAAATTGCCATAAAATAAAAAAAAATTATACTAGAAAATTTATTAGTTTCTCAAAATAAAGCTTAATGAAAATGAAAACGAAATTATAACCTAAGTAATCGTGAAAAAGCAAGAAGATAGTCTCTTTAACGATATAAATTGCCTAAAAATAAAAAAAAATTATACACAAGAATCGAACCCAAGAACTCAAGCTTATGAATCAGACTCGTTACCACTCTGCCACAGGACGCTCAAATAAAAGTACGTATAATTTATATATAAAGTGCTAAAAAAAACTTTAAGCTCGATTTTCTTGATTATATTTGAGTATTGCACTTTAGTATTTTACTAGTAGTACACTCACATGGTGTACTACCTCTACACCAAAGATCATCAAAATCCGTTACCCCAAAGCCGTAGGCTCTCCTTGTTAGAATTATTTTTAGAAGAGAGAATAGCATTTACTAAAAATAAAGTTGACCACTGAAAAGTTAGTAATGCAACATATAATCAGATACCAAATCTTTGCTGTCCTTTTTGACTGTTGCAGTGTTCCTTTTGACATTATGTTGCTGTATGACATCTTTTATTTGACAAATGAACTTCCTCATAACTGTAGCCTGAGGAAGACCCTGATAGGGTCGAAAACATTTGCTGTTTTGTAAACACGTATTACTGGGGTTTCAGAAGGTTTTTTGTGTGATGAATCATTTATTTGTTTGAGTTTTTTCTTCCTAAGCAAATTGTAATTGTGAGAGCCATTTAGAAAAATTAACCTCTGTTAGGCAGTGAAAAAAAATAATAAAGACTTTATAACGTAATTCCACTAGCGTGTTGTGGCGTTACAAACAGTGACCTTTAGCAAATAAGAGAGTTCACAAGCCCTTTCGAATAGCATAAAGCTATCATCGTCAGGTGAAAAATTGAATACAACTGTTTCCAAGTTTGGAACATTAGAACAGCTTATGGAATTAAATGAAGCACGTGGATAGAATATATCAATTTGAATTTGAAATAGAATAAAATTCAAAAACTCTTGAGCAGCCACATGAGTATTGTAATAACCAAAAATGTGTAATGAACAATAATAATATACTTAACTCCATACTTAAATGGTGAAATCATCTCATTTTGTTTGATTTGAAAAATCACTAAATTTATTAACAAAAACAAATTCAAAATTTTATTTAACTTTATTTAGTAAATTAATTCAGAATACTGTATTTTATTTTACAGATTTCAATCATCTGATAAGACTTAACTCCCTTGACCTTGGCCCTGACCCTGAAACTCGTCAATACAAATTTTTGATAAAGCAAACTAACTGTTTCCCTAGCAATTCGTATTAATGCAAATTGAATGTAGTAATAATCACATACAGAAACTGACAAATATGGAGGGAAAATCATAATACATGATCATAACAAATCAACATAATCTCTACTTTCAAACTTTGCATAAAAGATATATTTTATGTGAAATAAAGTCGCACAAAACTTTTCTTAATTTATTTAGTCTTGTTTGTTTTTTTTTACACATTTTAAATTTTTATATCTGAATCATGAATTTGATTTCAAGTCAAATTTAAGTAATTTTATGAATATAAAACCACTATGCTACAACAGTGTTTTCTAAAAAAATGAATAACTTGAAATTATTGTGCAAGTTTTATATATTGTGATAAAAAAATTTTTAAAAAGAATTGTTTGCAATATAAAATATTTTTTACCCATTACTCACATATAACTTATAATCACATGAAAATCATCTGTGCACACTTATTACAAATTGCTATTCCAAGTAATAGTAGATAATACTTAATAAATATAGGATGGATTTATATATATATATAAATCTCATTACAGTAGAGTCCTGCTAGTCCAAACTAATTGGAACTGANTAAAACAAATTTGAGAAGAAAGTAAAGTTGCAAATAAAAAAAAAATAATTCAGACCTGAATGTGACTTCAGAAAATGGTTTTAGACTAATTAAATGGTGCTCTTTAACTTTGTCATTGAAACTTTTAAGTTATATTGTAACTTTTTAAGGAGTAAGTGACCTTGAAGTTATTTTCAAGGTCAGCAAAAAGGTTCTATTCAATTCTTCATGTATGACTTCCTACATAACTGCATTAACGAAATTAATACACTCAATACTTTTGGAATGTAAAGGGTGTAAGGGACTTTTGACTTTCCCTATATATATACAATACATAACAGAATTGTACATCTTTTCTCAGTAATATGTTAGCCTTCCTGTCTTTCTTTGTAATAAAAATTTATTTTTAAGTATAGAAATAGATAAATAAATAAAACTCACGCCAAAATTGTATAGTCTTCTTGATAAAAAGCACTGAGTTCAGCGTTAATACGATTTTTCTTATATCGCAAGTACTTTCGACGAGTATTATATCGTCGTCTTCAGGCGAAAAAAGAACAAATTTGAAAATTAGAACATGCAGAATGTTCCAAGTAATTTTCAAATTTGTTCTTTTTTCGCCTGAAGACGATATAATACTCGTCGAAAGTACTTGCGATATAAGAAAAATCGTATTAACGCTGAACTCAGTGCTTTTTATCAAGAAGACTATACAATTTTGGCGTGAGTTTTATTTATTTATCTATTTCTATACTTAAAAATAAATTTTTATTACAAAGAAAGACAGGAAGGCTAACATATTACTGAGAAAAGATGTACAATTCTGTTATGTATTGTATATATATAGGGAAAGTCAAAAGTCCCTTACACCCTTTACATTCCAAAAGTATTGAGTGTATTAATTTCGTTAATGCAGTTATGTAGGAAGTCATACATGAAGAATTGAATAGAACCTTTTTGCTGACCTTGAAAATAACTTCAAGGTCACTTACTCCTTAAAAAGTTACAATATAACTTAAAAGTTTCAATGACAAAGTTAAAGAGCACCATTTAATTAGTCTAAAACCATTTTCTGAAGTCACATTCAGGTCTGAATTATTTTTTTTTTATTTGCAACTTTACTTTCTTCTCAAATTTGTTTTATGCAACCTTGAAAATGATTTTCAAGGTCAACAAAAGGTTCCATCTGAGTCTCTATTAACAAAATGTATATAGTATCTTCAGTACTTTTGAAATGAAATGATACATAATATACAATTTATTGTATTTGTGTTAACTGAAGATGTCATTAAAAGTGATAAAAAATGTTAATAATTAGAAATTTTTGCTGTTTATAAAGGTTGTTTAGTCTACTTATTACTCATACATTTCACTCAAAGTTGTAAAATATGGGTTTTGGTTCAAATACTCTTTCAGACGATGAATTTTGACCATTGGTGTCAAATAAAGACTGGCTTAAAATA